GGGATTGGGACTGGGACAATGGAATTGGGATGGGAACTGGGATCAGGATCAGCACCAGGACATTGGGACTGGGACTGGGATCAACATCCGAACAATGGGATTGGGATCAGAACTGGGATCAGGATCAGCACCAGGACATCGGGACYGGGACCAGGACTGGGATCGGGATGGGAACTGGGACCAGGACAGTGGGACCCCAGATGGATTTGGGGGGATGATTCAGCACCAAAAACTTTTCTCACCCAAGAAACCACAATTTTACCCCAGCACCAAACCCTGCAAACCTGAAAAACGCCTTAAAAACCCATTGAAAACTGTTGAAAAACGGGGGTAAATGGATGGAGAGAATTGGGAAAAACCAGGATAGAACTGCAAACATGCCAGAATCCAAAAACATCATGACAAAAACAACCAAAAAAAAACCAAACGAAATTATTATTTCTGATTTTTTCACTGCTCCACCCCAAACCCCTGACTCAGCAGGGCTGGCTGGGGTACGGCCACAGCACTGACCCCCGCACTGACCCCTGCACTGACCGATGGATCTGGAGGGATAATTCAGCACCAAAAACTTTCCTCGCCCAAAAAAAACCCCAATTTTATCCCAATACCAAACCCCGCAAATCTGAAAAACGCCTTAAAGACCCATTGAAAATGGGGAAAAATGGATGGAGAGAATCGTGAAAAAACAGAATAGAACCCAAACCATGCCGGAATCCAGAGTGACCACACCAAAAATAACCAAAAAAACCAAATTATTATTCCAAATTTTTTTGGCTCTTCCACCCCAAAGCACCCCAAACCCCTGACTCAGCAGGGCTGGCTGGGGTACGGCCACAGCGGCAGCAGCGCCGCGCCCGCGCTGACCCCGGCACTGACCCCCGCACTGACCCCCGCACTGACCGCAGTGACCGCCCCGCCGCCCCCCGCCCCCGCCGCGGCCGCGCTGTGCGTGCGCTGGTGCCGCTTGTGGTGCGAGCTGCGGCTGAAGCTCTTCCCGCACACCCCGCAGCCGTACGGCTTCTCCCCGGTGTGGATGCGCCGGTGCTGCGTCAGCGTGGATTTGTCGGTGAAGCTCTTGCCGCAGTCGGCGCAGCCGTACGGTTTTTCCCCGGTGTGGATGCGCCGGTGGCGGATCAGGTTGGAGCTGACGTTGAAGCGTTTCCCGCAGTGGCCGCAGGCGTACGGCTTCTCGCCCGTGTGGATGCGCAGGTGCTTGACCAGGTCCGAGCTCTGGCCGAAGCTCTGCCAGCACTCGCCGCACGTGTTGGGCACGGTGGGCGATTTGACGCCTTGGGCGGTGTCGCCGCGGCGTTGGCGGCGAGGTTTGGTCGCTCGGGGCTCTTTGGGCCGGCGGCCGAAGCTTTTGCCGCAGTCCACGCATTTGTAGGGTCGCTGCGAGGGCGCTCCCACCGGGCGGCCGCAGTCCCGGCACTGACCGGCGGCTCCGGCCGCTSCGGCCGCTCCGGMCACSGCGGGGGCGTGGGCGCGGCGGTGCCGCAGCAGTTGAGCGCTCAGCACGAAGGCTTTGCCGCAGTCCGGACAGCCGAACGGGCGCTGGGCAGCGGCGTGGGCGGCGCTCGGAGCGTGGGTGACCCCGCGGTCATCGCTGGCGGTGGCCCAGTGGTCATCGCCGCGGTCTCGGTGGTCAGCACCGAGGGTGACCCGTTGGCCATCGCTGTGGGGGACTCTCTGGCCATCGCCACGATCCCGCTGACCATCGGCACGAGTGACCCGCTGACCATCGCAAACGGTCACTTCGTGGCCACCTCCATGGTCCTGCTGGCCACCGCCTTG